AGATTGGGTTCAGTGTCTGCGCAGCGGGTGGTGCACACCCTCTGCTGAGGGGGGGGGGCCTGGGGACCGGCCTTTCTGCGCAGGCGCAGGTGCATCAGAAGATGGGTCGGGTGTCTGAGAGCCTGGGCCCAGCGGGACAGACGGCTGGGCAGGCGGTCAGCATGAACGAGGCCACCAGGGGGCGGGTGGGAGGAGCAGGCCCGGGAACCGAGTCTCAGGGTGGGAGAGCGGAAGGGGCAGAGGGGCTGGGGGCTCAGGCCTGTGGGGGTGTTGGGCTGGGCTCCCGGGGGATGAGCGGATGAGCAGGGCAGGCGGGATGCTGGGGTGAGATGCCTTTTCTAGGCTGTCGGCCTCCCTGACCCCGGAGCCAGCCTCAGTCTTCTCTGACCGCGGGCCCGAAAGCCGCTCCACCGGCTGGGCCACCTGCTTCGGGCAAGATGGTCGAGATGGGGGTCCCCCAGACCCTTCCTGGCTCCTGCCGGTCATCCATGTTTCTGGGCCGCATGGCGCGTGTGGTGCTAGGAGGGTGGCCAGGCAGTCCTGGGAGAGACGCCTGGGTGGGCGCTAGTCAGGGGGAGCGGCAGCTGTGGGTCGGGAGGGCTGACGCTGGGCAAAGTGTCCTCCCTCCCACACCCAGCTTGTCTGCACGGGGACGGGAGGCCAGGGCGGTGGGAGTCTGTGCCAGCCGTAATGGGCACAGCTGGACCCAGGACTGGGGTCACTGGCAGCTCCAAGGGGCTGGGACAGGGATGGATCAGAGCTGCTGCAGGGGTCAGGAGCAGTGTCCTGCCTTCTGTTTCCTCTGGGCTTGGTTCTCCCGGGAATGTGGATACGGGGTAGCACGCATGGGGGTGGGGGCTCCTCTCCAGGACTTGGCGGTGGTGGCGCTCAGAGCCTAGTCTGAGAGCGTCCCTTCTCCCACCCCTTCTGGCCTCCTTCATCTGCTCAGTCTCCAGGGCGGATGGTGCTGTGCCCGCCGTCCCCAGTGGTGCAGCCCGCCCCAGCTCAGACCACTGCCCCGCCAGCCCACAGAGGCCCAGCGGCCGCCACCTCCCCCAGCACTGGAGGGGCCTGGGGGAGGTGCTCAGAGCAGGAGACCTTCTGGGGAACCGTGGGGGGCCCCAGAGGCCTGGGTGCAGGAGTGGATGGGGTGGTCAGACCTCTCGGGTGGGGTGCCTGTGGGGAGCCCTTCACCCCTTCACAGCACAAGGAAACAGATCTGCATTTTCAAAGCTTTGTGGGGGTGTAGGGTCACGGGGGAGGGGGCCCAGGGGGCAGCATCAGGCCTCTTTGGCGTTTGGGGGGCAGGAAGCCCTCCCCCGACCGCTGGGCTGTTCTCAGGAGTCACCGACTTTGTCCTCAGGCTTCTTCGCGGGAAGCCCTCGCGCGGGTTCCTGCGGGCACGACGCCCTCTCCCGGCGGCTCCCGGGGGCAGGCGGGAGCCTCTCAGCCTCCTGCACCCGGAGACCGCGTCTGTGTCCCGCGGCCCTGGGTCCGGCGCCCGGGGGGCCTACCGCTCAGCCGGGAACGCGCGGTCCGCGGGGTGCGGGGCCTTCCGGGCGGGGTGCGAACAGCCGGAGCCCCAGTGCAGTCTGGGCTCCACACCCCCAGGCCAGCCTCGCTGGGCGCTGGTTAGCGGGGCCCTCCGTGGCTGGGAGCTGGGGGCAGCGGGGAGCCCTATCTCTGCACGGGTCGGAATGAGGCTTTTCGGGTGCAGGCGCAGGTTCGGCGACTCGTCCTCCGCCGGAGACCCCGCCGCACCCCTCGCCTTCGTCCCTCCCACGCGCACCCCAGAGGCAAGCACCCCCCGCGCTCCCGCAGCAGAGGAGGCCGTGCCCCAACCCGGGCGTCCCACGGGGGCCGGGCTGTCCCCCTGACGCTCGTTTCTAAAGACCCTTTGGCACTTTTCCTCTGCACAAACGTTAGGACGCAAAGTCGGTTCCTTTTTACTGGAACCTCGTGCGCCGCGTCGGGTCCAGGGTCTGGATCTGTGTCCGCGGCGGGCCTTTCCCGCAGTCAGTAAGGCCGGCGAGTCCCCCCCGCTCCCCCGCACCCGGGCTTCTAGTCTGGACTTGGTCTCCTGCGGCCCACCCGCTCCCGCCCGCGCCCGACCCGCCAGACTCGGGTGCCCCGCCCCCTCCCCCCGTTAGCCCCTCCCCTCCCTTCACACTCCCGTTGGCCCCGCCCCTCTCTTCCCACCCCGTTGGCCCCGCCCCTCTCTCCCCACCCGTTAGCCCCGCCCCCGCCCCGCCCCCCGCGCGCCTGGTGGATTCAGAGCTCCTGGCTTGCGGGCTGTAGAGCGTCCCCTTCTCTCCGCGTCCTGAGTCTGGGGGAGCGATGGGGACCTGGTCCCTGGGCACCGCCCTCCGCCTCCTAACCCCTCGGATCCACCTGAAGGCGCCTGCGGGCCTGGGGCTCAGCGAGCGAGCGAGCCCCTCCGCGGCCCCTCGGCCGCCCCCGCCGATGCCCCCCTTGCTCCACAGGCGGAGAGCGGGGGAGTTCGGCGGTGGAAGCGGGTACCCTGCGGTGCCTCCGGGTCCCGGACGACGGGGCGGGGCGGGCGGCAGGGGCCGGGTGGACTCAGACCCCGGCAGCGCGGGAGGACGGACGGGGCCGGCGGCGTGAGCGCCCGCGAGTGTGTGCGCGTCTATGACCCTGCGCGGCGGGGAGAACCGGGGCGACCCCCACTGATGACATTTGTCTCACTGAGGTGGAGGCTCCGCTGGGCCTTTGCGGGCCCAGGTGTAGGACGTCCCGGGGCAACACCTGCGGGGCAGCACCTGGCGCAGGGCTGCGGCTGACCGGCCAGGGCAGCAGGCTGAGGGCCCCTTGTCGCTTGTCTGGGGTCACCCCGGGGAAAGGGCCCCAGTGCTGGTGACAGAGTGCCGGTGATGTCCCTGCAGAGTCAGAGGCACCCGCGTGCAGGCCGCTGGGCTTTTGGGGCTCCTTTCTGGTTAAAGTGGGTGCTCTTGGCCGGGTGTGTGCTCCCAGTGAGCAGTGGGCTCCCCCCCGTGTTGGGGGTCGGAATTTAGGGCCCTGAATGTTTCCTAACTCTGACGCAGCCCCCATCCCCCACCCCCCACCCCCCCGGAGGGAGGCGGAGGTGAGGCAGGCTGCCACACCTGCAGCGCCCGGTCGGTGCCCACGAAGCCACCAGCATCCTGCCTCCCGTTACAAGTGTGCCTCCCGCTCCCATCTGCACGAGAACCCGCTGCCCCCTTTGTTAGAGCCCTCGTGGGAAAGTGAGCTTCTCACAGCATCACTTACTTTAAAAGTATTTTGATAACTGTTTTCACACACTCATCTCCCCTCGAAATCTAAGTGTTGTGTTGGGCACATTTCAATACCCATTTCCGGCAAGGGTCTTGGGTTTCATCCGCAGGTTAAGGCACATGGGTGGGGTGTCCCCGGGGCACCGGGGTTTGGGGGCAGGAGAAGCTGGCTGCTGGGAGCTGCTGAAGCTGTAGAGGAGGTCGTGGTGGGCAGAGTCCCGGGGGTTTCTGGCCCCATAACTGCAGGGAGAATTGATTTCTCACATGCTCTCTTCCCTAGCAGGGTCTCAAGAGGGCAGGGGCAGAGGCCCCAGGGAAGCAGGGGAAGGACTCCCACCTGCCTGGGCAACCCCAGAATGTGGGAGGGGGACTGTAGGACACGAGTCTGTCCTCAGCCATTCACACGACCCAGTTGTAACTGTGGGAAGGCTTATCTAAGGGATGCATTCACTGTCGACCTCCTCCCTTTGGGGAATGGCTTGCAGCATCTCATGGCCTTCTGGGAGGGGGGTGGTGTGCTAGTAACAGGCCAAGATCTAGAGCTGGAGGGAGCTCTGGGGAGAATGGAGGCAGGGGGCTGTAGGTTAGGACGTGACTCTGTCTGGGAGTGGGGCCTGGGTTCAGGAAGCTTCAGGAAAGGTGGGGACCCCATCCAGATTGGCCTTGATGGAAAACCCCCAGAGGGTGGCAGGCCTGGGCCTCAGACATCAGTGTGGACCCTCGAAGTCACTTATCCTCTGGCATCTTCCTCTTGACCTCTTCCACTCCAGGCTGGGCCTGGGGCCAGGGACAGAACGCGTCTCTGGCCTGTGTCGGCAGAGATGGGCAGGATCCAGACCTTGGAATAAAACCCTGAAGTTCAAGGGGTGGCAGAAGGAAGCCGGCGGTCCGCAGAAATGTTCCACCCCGACTGTGGCCCAGGTTAGGCCCTGGCCCAGCGTCCTCCTCGCCCAGAAGTGAACCTGGACCCCGCCTCCTGGTGCCAGACTGACGGGGAGACAGAGGCCTGGGGCAACGGGGCCCTCTCACCCAGGGGTCTGCTGTCCAGGAGGCTGTGGCCACCTGCGTCCTGAACACTCAGGGGGGCCACCGCAGAGTTGCGTGGAGTGACGGATGGGGACCCCCAGCGTGGGCCTCAGCTCAGTGCTGTTGGAAACGCTCCTGATACAGGCTTGTCAGCAGGATTGCTGAAGTCGGGATTGTTAGTCTGCAGGGTGGGAACCACGAGCAAAGCCAGGCTGCGAGAGGGGACCAACAGAGGCCATGACGCAAGACTGGTCATTGATTTGGGCGGGGGAGGGGCAGAGGGAGGGAGAGAACCCGAGCAGACCCCCTGCTGGGTGCAGAGCCCAACGTGTGGCTCGATCTCAGGACCCTGACACCAGGACCTGAGTTGAAATCAGAGGCAGAGGCTTGGCCGAAGGGGCCACCCGGCATCCCTGCAAGTGTGTTCAGTTAGCTCAGGTGTGTGCGGGGAGGAGGCAGACGGCTTTCAGGAGGGGCAGAGATGGGGCAGGAGGCCCTGAGGTCAAGAGCGGGGAGGGCTGTGTCAGGTTCATCTTGGCGTGGTGCGGAGGCTGCAGGCGGTCTGTGCCCTGGTTATTAGGTTCCGAAGATGGTTTGTGCAGCACGCACACCAGTACTTGTGCTGGGTTAGATCCTGAAGGAGGCAGGGGGAGAGCTGGGGGTGCCCACCGAGCCTACTGGCCCCGGGGGAGACAGGCCCTGTCAGCAGCAGGACTTCTGGGCTGAGGTGGGCACGTAGCAGGCCTGGCGGGACCCCACAGGGCGGCAGAGCGGGGACACGCAGGAGGACGGTCTGCAGCAGGACGAGGAGCGGGGGCTGGGCTGGCAGCAGGAGGAGGCGGAGCAGGGGGAGGGCCCAGAGCAGACAGGGGTGCAGCAGACAGGGGTGCAGCAGACGGGCTTGCAGCAGACAGGGGTGCAGCAGACGGGCTTGCAGCAGACAGGGGTGCAGCAGACAGGGGTGCAGCAGACAGGGGTGCAGCAGACAGGCTTGCAGCAGACAGGGGTGCAGCAGTCTTCCTGGCAGGGAGAGGAGCTGCAGCAGGAGGGCTGGCAGCTAGACTGCTGGCAGCATGAGGAGCCTGTGCAGGGGGAGGCCTGGCAGCAGACAGCGGTGCAGCATACGGGGGTGCAGCAGACAGACACACAGCAGTGGGGGGAGGAGCTGCAGGGGGAGGGCTGGCAGGAGCTGGTGCAGGCTAGTTGGCAGGGGCTGGACCCACAGCTTGCAGGGGTGCAGATAAGGGTCAGGCAAGAGTCTGGGGCGCAGCAGCTGGGGCCACAGCAGGTGGGGGCACAGCAGGGGGGCTCGCAGCAGCTCTCTGGGCAGTCGTCCACCTGCCAGGAGTCGGGGCAGGAGTCACAGGAGCCGGGCAGGCAGACGCGGCCGCCGTAGCTCCGGTCGCTGGAGCAGACGGACAGGGTGGACGTGGCCATGGTGGGGGCGGTGGCTGGAGGAGGGTGTGAGTGTGAGTGTGTGTGTGTGTGTGTGTGTGTGTGTGAGGCACTCAGGCTCACTTTTATAGCCCTCCTCTGGTTGTGTGTTTTCCCCGCAGAGGCTCAGGACACCGCCTCTTCCTTGCTGGCACTGCGGCTGGCTCCCAGGGACCCCTCATTAGCGCTGGTTTATTTTCCCAGAAGATGCCATCCAGCTCGTAAAAGTCTGCACAAGTGTTGGGTCCTGGCTGAGTCTGCTGAGGGGCCATGCGAGTACCAGGCAGGGGGGAGCTGGGCAGGTGGGTGTAGCGTGGGAGGGGGTCTCCCAGCCCCTGGACACTGGCCTTGGGGTGTGGTGACTGGCATTCTGACCCCAGGAATAGCTCCTAGTGTGGGAGCCTGTCTCTGGGACATGTGATCCCCGTGCTTCTGCGTTTGTCACCAAGTCCACAGAGATGAGGGGAGGCTGGTGATACCTGGGGGGTTCTGCCCGAGGTTAGGGCTGGCTGTCCCTGCCTCAGACCCCGGCTTGGCCGGGGGATGAACTGGCTTTGTGCCAGGGTGACGTGTGTAGGCAGTGGCGGGGGTGGGCCTGTGCCTGGCCAGGCCACCATCATGCTCGGGGCAGGTCTCTTTCTAACCTGTGGCCTCTCAGGACCCTGGTGGCTCTGACCACATGGTCGGCATGGTAGGGCTGGGCAAGAGGCTGCCCCTCCCCACTCCCAGGCTGGCTTGGGCTCTGGCTTCCCCCTGTGGGTGTCCTACTGGGTGTCTTGCTGCATTTCCTTCTGCCTCCTGTCCCAGCTCCCTCCCTCTGTCTCCTTCAGGCTCCTGGAGGCTGAGGCTGTCCATGAACCCTTGGAACATCTCTGTGGGACACTCAGTGTCCAGGAAACAGCGACTTCAAGGTTCTTCATACCAGGCACGGAGATGGGAGGAGTGGGGCAAGGGTGGGACGGGGTCTTGGCTGGAGTAGAGGAGGGGAAAATGGACAGGTAGCAGGCACTGGGGCCTGTGGAGGCTCAGGGTGACAGCAAGGCAGCACGCGGGGGGTCTGTGATGTCTCAGCCGCTGTGGAGGGGTCCAGCCACCCTGCCGAGGTGTCTGGCGTGACTGGGACAGTAGGCGGACTCTCAGAGGCTGCACACACACGCGCACATACACACACGCACACGTGCACACACACGCGCGCAAGGGCATTCGGGGACGGCTGGACCCGATTCCTACAGGGCAGTGGTTTTCTTTTATTGCGATTATTATCTTACGCTGTCTCAGTGACACTTTTAAACAGAATACTTAGAAATCACAAAAGCTCTGCTTGTCACAGCTTTGACCAAATGTGTGCATTTGTTTCCTGTGGCTGTTCTGACCCGTGGTCACACTCTTGATGCTTTAAAACAACAAACGTTCGTCTCCACAGTTCTGGAGGCCGGTGGTGTGCAGTCGGCTCCGCTGAGCCGAGATCGGGGAGTGGGCAGGGCCGCGCCCCCTTGGAAGGTTGTGGAAGGAGGAGGTCCCTCCTGCCCCCTCCAGCTTGGTGGCTCCGGCCTCCCTGGCGTGCGGTCACGTGTGGTCATGTCGCCTCCTCCTCGTCTGTGTGAAAAGGAGGAGGGAGCCGCACCTCTCTGGTATGAGGACACCTGTGCTGGCGTTTAGGACCTCCTGGCTGGCCTGGGATCGTCTGCCCGGGGCAGCAGCCATTGCAGTCACCCTGCCAAGACCTCTTTCCTCACGAGGTCACGTGCGCAGGTTTGGGATTCAGGTGCAGCTGTCTCTAGGGCTGTTGTGTGCCCCACCCCACAGTGGGCCCTGTTTTCTCTGTACGGCCCCGTGCCTGCCACAGCTGTGGCTTCATTGTCTCTGCCCCTCCCTGGCACGACGGGATCCCAGGGCGCCCATGTCATAGGGTCATCTGAGGATGATGTGATTTAAACACGCAGGGCCTGTAGGTCCCCAAATCCTCCTGAAGGCAGGGGCAGGCCACTCCTGCTGGCGCTGAATGGGCTCCGAGGCTGCGTCGTGCGGAATGGCGCAACTCAGGTACCCACGAAGCTGGAAAAGCCGTGTCGCATTTTGCTAGAAAGTTCGCAGCTGCTGTCCAGACCAGAACGTGCGCGGCAAGGTCCGGGGCTTCGGGTCCCCAAGGGCAGTCCCTGTCTAGCCCTGAGAGGAGGTTCACAGCAAATTCCGGGACATGGGGCAGGTTCCGGGGAACCCGAGGTCCTTGCCTGGGCCCCGCTGGGGCTTCCTGCAACAGGAAACCGTTGACAGGCCCTGGCCTGCCGCGTGCTTCGGCTAATGCTGAGCCCGGGGAGGTCCGTGCTGTCTCTTCACGCTCAGAACTCAGGGCCAGGGCAGGGCCGCACAAGGACAGGGGGACCCTCATGGTCTTTGTGGCTCCTATGCCAATGGCTCCCCTCCCCGCCCGGCCGCTGCCGTGATGGTGAGCCACCCTGGAAGACGGGGTCCCCTCTGAGCCATCGGCTTCCCATCGTCTTTCTGCAGGATCGTCATCTGCGGGACAAAGTGTCCATGTTCTTCCCAGAACTCACTCTGTCGAAGAATGTGCACGGGTCCCTGGGAGTCCTCAAAGCAGATGGCTTTTCCTGTCCCAGCCTGGTCTGTTGGCACCTCTGGGGTCCTCATCGTATCTGCCCTGAGAGACCGCTGTCCGGGGAATGGCCGGGGGAGAGGCAGACACGGACCCCAAAGTCCTCTGCCTGGTGGAGTCACAAGCCGGGCACTGGGGAGGGGCTGGGGCTGGAGCCAGCTGGCCTGCAGAGCCGCCACGCCCCAGGGAGGCCAGCTGGAAGGTGCTAGCTCAGCTCAGGGAGGCTAGGCTCAGCTTCGGGGGGGATCACATCTGGAGGTGGGTATGTGGCCTGGAGCCCAGGAGAGGCCCCTGGCTGGACGTGTCAGCAGAGTGAGCCAAGGTCTCAATGACATAGCGAGGGAGGGGTGCGGAGGTCAGGGTGAAGAGCCCCGGAAAAGTCAGAGACGTGAGGGGCGGGAGGGCACTGTGTTCTGGAGCCCGAGGTCCGGCTCTGCAGGGACAGGCCCACCGGAGAGGAGACAGGAGAGACTAACTTCAGCATCGGGGCTTTGGAGCCTGGGCCGGGCAGGGGCAGGGGCTGGGGTGTGGGAGGGTCGGGGGGAGGGTGTCTCAGTGGAGAGCAGGAGGCTCTGCTCTGAAGGGGGCACAGGCAGTGCCGGGTCGGGACAGCGGGGAGTTCTAACCGGCATTAAGGTAGGGAGGGTGTTGGGCTTGTGTGTACGCACTGGACCGGTGGCTCCGCAAACAGGCTAGAGAAGGAAGGAGGGGCTGGGGGCTCGGGTGGCCGAGCCAGGGTGCTTGCTGGGGCCCCGTATCTTCCCGCCCTCCCTGCTTAGGGTATGCTGAACCCTGTGTCCTGCCAGGCTCCCTGTAGGGGGAGACATGCCAGGGTCACTGTGCCCGGGATTGGCTGCTGCTGCATTCCTGAGGCTCTACCCATCAGGGCCAGCTTCTGGGACAGGGGCTACTGGTGTCAAGGCTGTGGCCATGGTCTCCATGCCCGGGACTGGCCCTGATCTTGTGGGACAGGAGTCCTGTGCCAGGCCAGCGAAGGGCAGGGCCTGGAGGAGGCACAGGTGTAGCTGAGGATGGGTGGGGCGGCAAGGGCACCGGGCGGCTGCCCCCACCCCCACCTCAATGGGGGACTGGCTAGCCACCCAACTAGAAATGGTCCGAAGAGAGTCACATGCCATCAGGGTTAAGTTCAAGCCATGTTTATTGGGTTGATCCAAGCAGCTTCTGAGGATGTGAGACCAGTGAGGCCTCCATTGTGGACATGGTCCCTAGGCGTGACCACTGGGACCTTGGGAGCAGTGAGGCAGTGGGTATGGGAGGGGTCATTCTCAATTGAATGGGAACCCCCTTTCCTGGCCTGAGAGGAGGGGGTGCTATCCACATGTCACAGGGGTTCCTGAGAGACAGAACCTAAAGCAGCTGGGAGGCTGGCAGGGGGAGAGTTGGGGGTGCCCACTGAGCCTACTGGCCCCAGGGAAGATGGACCCCGTCAGCAGCAGGACTTCTGGGCTGAGGCGGGCACGCAGCAGGCCTGGCGGTAGCCCACAGGGCAGCAGAGCAGGGACACGCAGGAGGACGGTCTGCAGCAGGACGAGGAGCAGGGGCTGGGCTGGCAGCAGGAGGGGGCCGAGCAGGGGGAGGGCCCAGAGCAGACAGGGGTGCAGCAGACGGGCTTGCAGCAGACAGGGGTGCAGCAGACAGGAGTGCAGCAGACGGGCTTGCAGCAGACAGGGGTGCAGCAGACGGGCTTGCAGCAGACAGGGGTGCAGCAGACGGGCTTGCAGCAGACAGGGGTGCAGCAGACAGACACACAGCAGTCTTCCCGGCAGGGGGAGGAGCTGCAGCAGGAGGGCTGGCAGGAGCTGGTGCAGGCTGGTTGGCAGGGGCTGGACCCGCAGCTTGCAGGGGTGCAGATGAGGGTTAGGCAGGAGTCTGGGGCGCAGCAGCTGGGGTCACAGCAGGTGGGTTCACAGCAGCTGGAGTCACACCAGGTGGGTTCACAGCAGCTGGGGTCACAGGTGGGGGCACAGCAGGTGGGGACACAGCAGGTAGGGACACAGCAGGTGGGGACACAGCAGGTGGGAGCACAGCAGGGGGGCTCACAGCAGCTCTCTGGGCAGTCGTCCACCTGCCAGGAGTCGGGGCAGGAGTCACAGGAGCCGGGCAGGCAGACGCAGCTGCCGTAGCTCCGGTCGCTGGAGCAGATGGACAGGGTGGATGCGGCCATGGTGGGGGCGGTGGGGCTGGAAGAGGGTGTGAGTGTGAGTGTGAGTGTGTGTGTGTGTGTGTGAGTGTGTGTGTGTGTGAGATGGTTGGGGTGTCTGGGCTTATATACACCTGAGGGCTGTGTGCTTCCGTCACGAGGCCCCGGAAAGCCTGTTTCCTTGTCATGGGAGCAGGCCCCTGGGGATTTGGGTCATGGCCACAGCAGGTACCCATCATTTATGACCCTGGAGGGGCAGCGGCTCCTGCTCCCGCCCTCACCCCTGCTCCCAGCATCTCTCTGGGGCCCTGTCCTATTCATCCCCTGGCTCCTCTACACTCAGCGGAATCATACACATATTTTGTTCTCTTTTTTTGCATATATCATCTTTATCTGGGGATATAATTCTCTCCTGAGTCCTTGAACCCATGAATGGCTGGAAGCCCTATATTTTAGCGCATCAGCAAGCGCGTGTGTAATCGGTCTTCATGCCAGTAAGTATTTTGAACAGTTTTGTACATGTCAACCCAATGACCCTTACAACAACCTCGTGACCCTGCTGTGCCCACTTTACCGATGGGGAAACTGAGGCACGAGTAAGCACTTGCACCACACACCACACAAGTGCGCAGAAGAGCTGGGTCAGAACCCGCGGCACATGTTCTCTGCCGTGGACGCCGGTGCCCTGGGAAGCAGAGAGCCATCTGGCTTCTGGGAGAGGGTCATCGAGATCTGCTGGTGTTGGAGTCTGGGCAGGTGCATGGCGGGTGCCCGGCAGCTGGAACCACCTGGAAAGGAGCTGCTTCTAGGAGAGCACCAGGACTCGGCTTAGTTATGGCAGGAGCTTACACAAACAGTGGGACATGAGGTTTCTGGAGGCAGGTCATTGGTAGAGCGAGACTTAGCCCAGCTGGGAGCAGGGAGGGGGGAAGCTGCTTGGGGCTGGAGAGTCTGAGGGGAGGAGTGGTCAGGGAGAGCTGGCAGCTGGGCAGGGGAACCGTCTGCAGGGGTCCTGGATGTGGGGCAGAGTTGCTGGCGAGCTGCATCAGTGGGGACGTGGGGACCCAGCACTTGGGGAAGGAGGGGTCTCGGGTGCTGAGTTCTGGCCAACCTGAGGGGGTCTAAGCCTAGTGGAGCATGGCCAGGGGAGGCTCCTGTAGGTGGCCTGGCCGTAATGGCCAGCTTTGTGCGGCGATTGCTGCTGACTGCCCCCCATCGCAGCGGGAGGTCTGAGAAGTGTGCAGGAGATGGCGCAGGGCCAGGGTCTGTGCTGGGCAGGCCCATCTGTAGTGGCCCCTCGGGTCCAGAGAGAGAGGCCCTTGGAGGGGCCAGGGACTGGGAGCCCCCCGGAGGCCTCAGGAATGGAGGGAGAGCCAGGCGGCTCCCCAGTTTGGGGTCCCCTTCTGGAGGCAGTGAGGGGCATCTCTGGGGAGCCTGGGGGCCCCCATGGGCCTGGCTAGAGCCCAGAGTTCGAACGTGGTGGGGTGTGGCTTATGATAGCTGAGGGCCTGGGGAGGTGTTGCTGGTCCACGGGCCCCTCCTTTCTGAGCTGAGGTGGGTGCGGGGGCTGGGTTGTCTGCAGCAGCTCCCAGAGGGCATGGATGGGACACACGCAGCCACCATCAGTGGACAACACGGCCAGACACGAGTGACCAGCGAGGAAGACAGATTTAATGGAGGGTCACGCAGTAGGACTGGTGTTGCTGAGCAGGCAGGAATTTACAGTGAGATGGGAAGGAAGGGAAGAGGGTCTTTGCTGGGCAGCCACCTGGGTTTGCGACGGGCCCTCTGGGCGGAGGCCCCTGGCTTCCAGAGAGACCTGACCGGCCCCATCTTTCCTGACGTGGCATTTCAAAGTGGGGGCTTCGTGAGAAATGCCCGCTGCCTCAGACAGACGGGGGCCTTAGGGGCCAGCCTTCTGGGGAGGCCTGTTGTCCTGTGTGGTCTGGGGCTCACGGGAAATCGGTTGGGGGGTCTGAGCTTTCCAGGCGAGTGCTTGGGGGCGAATGCTTCTCCATCTCTCAGTCCTCATCTTGGCCCGAAGCTGCCCATGCCCCTCTGACACCCGAAGAAGGCACACTTGGGCCCTGGGAGGCCGGCGGTGCTCACACCCATGGCCGTCCAGCGGGTAAGGCCTCCAAGGGCCACGGTGAGGAGCTGCCCTGCCCCGCTGGGGAGCAGGTGTGCGCAGCCAGAAGCTTATGTCGAGTTGAGTCGCCTGGATGCGGCCCTGAGCCCATGGGCGGGAGCTCCGCCAACACTCCCTGTGCCCGCGGTCCCCTGCGCATCTCAAAGATCATCACAAGCACGCGTTGTTCTGTGACATTTGCCAAAACGGTGTTCTTCTGTTCCACGCGCCTTAAAAATTCTTTCAACTGCGGGAAAATGTATGTAACATAAAATTTGCCATTTTATGTATTTTTAAGGCTAGCTTAGGGGCCCTGAGTACATCCCCATTGTGCAACTGTTGCCTTCGTCCATCTTTAGGAATTTACCGTCATCCTGATCTGAAGCTCTATCCCCACGAAACGCCACCTCCCCGTTCCGCCGTCCCCCAGCCCCCGGCACCCCCACCCTACTCTCTGTCTCTGAGTCTGGGCCCTCTAGTCCCTCCTATATGTGGAACCAGACTCTGTCCCTCTGTGGCATTTCACCCAACATCACGTCTTCAAGGCTCTTCCAGGAAGCGGGGGCGGCCCTGCTTTCAGTTCACGGGAGAAGAGCGAGCCACGCAATGGGTGGGCCACGTTTTGTCTTCCTGCCCACCTGTCCTCGGACCCCTGGGTTGCTTTTACATTTCGGCTGTTGTGAATAACGCTGCAAAGGTCATCTGAAACCTCTTTATCCTTTTTGGGGTGTATTCCTAGGAGAGGAACTCCTGGGGGCATATGGAGAGCGCCCAAGTGTTGCCACAGAGGTGCCCCCTCTGTGTTCTCATGGGCAATGTTTGAGGGCTCCAGTCCCTCCACATCCTCGCCAACACCGGGTCCTTTTCTAATCACAGCCCTTCCGCAGAGTGGGAAACAGTACTGTGGTTGGGTTTGTGCTTCCCCGATGACTAAAGATGTGGGGCATCTCTTCGTGTGTGTGCTGACCATCGTCCAACTTTGCAGGGAAATGTCCACTCATGTCCTCTGCCCGTTGTCAGACCAGGTGGCTTGTCTTTTTGGTGCGGAGTTGTACACGTTCTGTATGTATTCTGGATGTCAAACTCTTACCAGATACACGATTTGCAAGTATTTTCTCCCATCCTGTAGATTGTCTTGTCACTTTCTTGATGGTGTCTTTTGAGTCACTAAAGTTTTGAATTTTGGTGACGTCCAATTTATGTTTTGCTTCTGATCTTCCTGCTTTGGCATCCTTACTATGAGTGCATTGTCAGTTCCAAGGTCAGAAAGTGTTTCCCCCGTGTTTTCTTCTAAGACACTTTGGTTTTAGATCTTACGTTTGGGATGTTTACCCATTTTTAGTTAATCTTTGTATGTGGGGTGAGGTGGGGGGTCCAACTTAGTTATTTTGCATGTAGAAATCTGGCTTTTCCAGTAACATTTCTTGAAAAGATGATTTCTTCCCCCACTGAATAGTCTTGAAACCCTCATCAAACGCCAGTTGGACATAAATACACGGGTGCATCTCTGGACGGTGGCTCTACTCCGTCAGTCTGTATGTCCTTTGCCACCTGGTTCAGTTGCTGCACTTTTGCAGTAAGTTTTGAAATCAGTGTTATGAATCCTCCAACTTTCTTCCTCTTTTTCAAGATGACTCTATTGTAGGCCCCTATCAATTCTGTATGACTTTGAGGATCAGGCTTTGGGCTTTCGATATGATTCTGTGATTCTGCAGGTCGCCTTGGGCAGTCCTGTCCCCTTAACGTTGTCTCCCATCCATGAACATGGGATATCCTTCCATCCACGCCCGTCGTCCCCGGCTCTTGCAGCACTGTGCCACAGCTGTCTGTGTACAAGTCTTTCCCTGCATGGTTAAATTTATCACCAGGTATTTTATTCTTTTGGATGTGATTTCCCCTGCTTTAAAAAAATGTTGAGGGGTGCCTGGGTGGCTCAGTGGGTTAAAGCCTCTGCCTTTGGCTCAGGTCATGATCCCAGGGTCCTGGGATCGAACCCCACATCGGGCTCTCTGCTCAGTGGGGACTCTGCTTTCTCTTCTCTCTCTGTCTGCCTCTCTGCCTTCTTGTGATCTCTGTCAAATAAATAAATAAAATCTTTAAAAAATATTTAAAAAAATTTAAAAAGTTGAAAAGCAGATGACTGCATGAAAAAAAAGACATGTCACTCAGTTTTAGAAAAACACATGTGCTTATTTAATATATCTATGACCAATGACATGCTGTCATGTTTGCTGCTCACTTGTTTGCTGTTTACACTCTTCTGTCCCCTCTGTCTGTTTATGACGCTTATGTCTGGAGGCACAGGCTGCATCCCAGTCCCAGGACTCCGGGAGCTCCCTTCCTGAAGTGTGTTGCATGCAGCGCTGTTAATGGCAAGTCTGAGGCCGGTCTTAGCTTTATTTTTCTGCAGATGACTTCTGTTTGTTTTGTTCTCTGGGGAAGCTTTTAGGAACCACTTATTATCCCTCATGTTCAGCAGTTTCTACAGGATGTGTCTGGGTTTTCCCCATTCATTTTTCCTGGCATTGGTTAGTCTTTTCAAACCTGGAGGCTGTGTCTTCCACTGTGGGACAGGTTCCTCCCCAGGGAGGCATTTCCACATCCCCCTGTGTCCTCACTGTTCTCCCTCTGGGAATCCCACATGGCCACACCCCCGGGGTGGGTCACTCATGCTGCTTTCTTTTTCCTCATACTTTCTACCTCCTCAACGTTTTGTTCTAAGTCGGAGGGATTTCTCAACCTCACCTCCAAGCCCCTCTATTTAATTTTAAATATCAACAGTACATTTGATATCTACGACTTTTTTGGGGTCAGTTTTCTAAGTGTACCTTTTCACAACCTCTTGCCCTCGTTTTATGGCTCTAACATCTTGATGGTATATTTAAGATTTTTAAATTCAATTTAACTTAAATTTTCATTTCAAAGGTGGTTTCTTCTTTGTAAACTATATACTTCCTCTGGGGTGTGTTTTTATGTTGATGGTCTCGGGCTTTCTTTCTCATGCCACTGGCTTTGCTCGACATGGGGGTGGTCCTTGGTGGTCTGGGCTCCTCCTCCACCATGTGACAGTCTGTGCTGAGTTAGAGAAAGCTCGCCCGTGTGGGGAGGCTGACATGGCACTCTGGGGTTGGGATGGGGGTCTTCTGGGCTTCACTTGGGGATAAGAAAGTTGGGAGCCCAGAAGCCAGAATGAGAGTTATGTCCTTGGGGGTGCCAACAGCTCTCCAGGAACATTAGCCCTTCCTGGGTGAGGTGTTCTACTGTCCCAGAGATACGGCTGGTGGTGTTCTGTGGAGAGGTGGGACTGCTGGACACTCGGCCTTCGGGGATCCTGGCTGGGTGGCCCTGGCTCCTCCCCTCCATTGAGGACACACCCGTCCTCACTGGGCCTGTTCATGGCGACCAAGTCCTGTCCCGCTGCAGGGCCCCTGCCTTGGGGTCAGCACACTTGCCGCTTCCCATTGTATTTGTTGAGTCCCTCGACCATGATAAGCTGACTTCTCCCCCACAGTGGGTCCCAGGAAGGTTGAGACGGGAGCGGTGGGCTCAGTCCGCCATCTTGAACAGTGGCGTCCACTCTCGCGGAGTGTTGCCTTTCCCACAACCAGCACAGTACTCTGGGTGTTTGGCCAACCCACAGTCCACCCTTACTGTATTGGAACGCCAGGCGCCCATGTGCAGTGAATATTAGATCACCACAGCATGCAGGCTCTCGGTTTAATTTCCCACCCAGAGCAGGAAACCCATTTGTGTCTTCTGTTTTTTCCTTTAAAGGAAAATTTTATTTTAATCTGCTTAGCTCAACGATTATTTTCATTTTCATTTTATTATGAAATATTTCAGACACAGAAAAATGGAGAGAATTAAACGTTGCGTGTATCCACATCCCCATTCCTCAAGCCCATTGCTAACACTGGGCCTCATGTACTTTCTCGGACACTTGCCCATCAAACCACCCCTCCCTCCACACCTCGTAGTTTCTTGGAGCACCTCAAAGTAAGTCACAAGCAATAGTATGTTCCACTCAAACATTCAGGAAGCATACCATGAACAGGAATTCAATTTTTATGCTTTCGTGTGTGAAATAATATGAATCTTGGGTATTTCACTTGATGAATTTTGACAAAGGCATTCATTTGAGTAGCCCAAACCCTGTCAGGACCCACATCCTGACCTTGCTCCAACCTTCTCAGGGCCCCAGATGTGACCTGTGCCCTCTGCTCAGGCCGTGGATCCCACCACCCTCTCCAGGTAGCCTCTTCTGCCAGCCAGCGTCATCCAAATGCTCCAGAAGCAGCCTTGGCGCTGATCTTTAAAAGAAGAAACTCGTTTGCTTGTCTTGGAGCCTCACTTTAAGGGGATCATGCCGCAGGCGCTTTGGCTCAGCTCCGCCCACCAACACCGTGTTTTGAGACCCATTCATGTGGTGGCAAACGCAGTGTGCTCCTCTTCCTTGCTGGTCCCTTCTCCCTTGTAGGACTGTCGTGCCTGCTTTCTCCATCCCTGTAGACGGACATGTGGGTTCATTCCAGGTCTGCCTCTTATTGGGAGAGTGGAGTGAACGTAGCTTCTCTTGAAGCCTTCAGCTCCCAGAAGCTGGAACAACCTCCAGGTGCCCGTTCTCTGTAGGGTAGCTCTGGCGTTTAGGGAACTCTTTCTTCTTTGAGCTGAAATCTGCGTCCCTGTCCCACTGGCTCCTTGGTGCAAACTTTGGGACAACACACAATGAACTACTCCCCCGGGAAGCCACTGCGGGTCCCTTGGGCTGTGTCTCTTCCTCCCATCGTTTGCCCCTCATCGGCACTTTCTAGGATCAAAGAACCATCCATGAAGTCCTCACTTGAAACAGTGGGAAGGAATGCCACACTCATATCTAAGAGCCTGGATTACAGCTTTTCTTGGTGGGGCTCCCCAACACGCTGAGGGGCATGACCGCCCCAGGAGAACCACCCTTGGATGGCACTTCTCAGCCATTGGCTTGTCCAAGCGAGCAGGTGACAGGGTAAGACAGCTTCAGGGTGAAATCACAGAAAGACACAGTGCTGAGGAGCAGAGAGATTTATTTTTAATAGGTCACTAAGCTCTTATGGAGAAGAAAACACCATCACTGATTCGGTAATGAGACATGGTGGGAGAGGTCAATAGAGAATTGGTATTCTAGGTGATTCATCAGCAGCAGGTAGGGGTACCACAGGGGGCAGGCCTGCAGAGCAGGGTGGGGCAGGAGGGCTGGCAGGCCCCAGAGGACTGGCAGGAGGGAGCCACATACACTACGGGCTTGCAGGTCATGGGCACGCACACAGCTGGCTTGCAGGTCACGGGCACGCACACAGCTGGCTTGCAACTCGTGGGCATACAGCATGATGCTTGGCAGGAGCTGGGCACGCAGCAGGCTGAGCTGCAGGAGGAGGCCTGGCCGCAGGCCACTGGGCAGCACAGGGACGGGCAGCCACATGCTGACTGGCAGGAGATGGCTGAGCCGCACACAGGCTGGCACAGCAAAACCATGCAGGGGGCACTGCAGGAGCCCCCACAGCCTGGGGGAGGGCAGGAGGTGGGGATGCAGTCCAGGGAACCAGAGCAGGATGTCTGGCAGGAGCTGGGCACGCAGCAGGACGTCTGGCAGGGGCTGGGCATGCAGCAGGACACCTGGCAGGAGCTGGGCACGCAGCAGGACACCTGGCAGGAGCTGGGCACGCAGCAGGACGTCTGGCAGGAGCTGGGCACGCAGCAGGCCTGCTGGCAGCCCGTGGAGCAGCTGGACTGGCACATGGTGGCGTGGGGCTGGAGTGGAGTCAGGGTGGAGGACGGGGCTGGTCTGGAGGCTCCTTCCCCAGGCAGCCTTTATACCCAGGCTGTGGCATCCTGGCAACAAGCCACACGGGGGCCTTCCTCCTGGTTACCTGATTGTTTTCCTCCTCCTGCTCCTCCTCTGTGCGTCTCTTCCTGGAGTTTCCCGGTGGAAGCGACTCTGTTCAGGAAGCTCTGTGACAGCTGGAGGCTCAGTGTGACCCAGCAGCCCCGTGATTTCTCGACTCCGCCCAGGTAGGATGGTGAAGGACCATCGGCTGGGGACAAGGGCCCCCATATCAGGAATTTCCAGGTCCTCCCCGAGCTCACGTACCCTGTCCTCTGTCCACACAAGCACCATCCTGCTCGCCAGACCGGGGATCCCTGTTTTGATTTGGAAACTCCGTGATCCAAAAGGCCTTCCCAAGGGACCAGAGCCCAGTGGCTGGGCTCCTCACTGGGGACAGCCATGGCCGTGGCATCCACCATGTCATCCGGTCCCGGCTTTGTGCCAGGTGCCACGTTGTCAGCTTGTCACTGACTAGTCACCAGTTCTTGCCGCCATCCAAGGGGTAGGGGTAGCCCACGTACGCGGATGCGCAATTGGATTCCGGGATGTGTGCGCGCTCTCCCACTGTGGCCAAGAAGCAGGCGTTTGAAGCTCAGTTTCACTCTGGGTCTGCGGTCATTACCATTGCGCCAAATTATGCTGGGGTTTTAGGGGTTCAGTAGTGACATATCCTACAGTCCCGAATCAGCTGGCAGAGACAGGAGCAAGCAGTGGGCAGATCATGTGTCTTCTGTGGCTTCCAAGCTCACATGGCAGAGCTGCCCTCCAAGACTGGGCAGCACCAGCCGGAGCCCGGGAGGGGTGGTGAGGGGCGAGCTGCCCACACCAGGCTCCTCTCCCAGCGCCAGCGTCTGGTCTGCCTGGCTCCAGCAAGGCCGGCATGACCTTGCATGAGACCCATCCGCCGGGAAGAAGGCAGCGGCAGGGGTCGATACGCCCCGCATTTCCCGGACCCCTGTCCTTACGTGTCATCTATAGCACATTCTTTTGAGTTGGGTGCCATTTGGCAGGGTCCGTGTTGCTCCCCCTCTGAGGCTGCACCCACCGGGCCCTCTGCACAGGGGTGGGCCCCCCCCAGTGACGGCAGGTGTGGACAGAAGGGCTCCTCAGGTGGCCCAGTAACAAGCCACACTAGTTAAGTCATTCCAAGACTGTGGTCTTGGGGGCTCCTACCGTGGTCAGAGCTGAGACAAGAACATCCTGGAGCCCACCTGAGACCACAAAGCAGAGTGACCTTGAGACCTGTGGATGAGCCACGTCCATCCACACGCTCCTCCATCCTGACAACAGGTTAAAACCCGTTAGGACTAATAGGATCCAGGGTGACCACACGGGACCACAGGTCCCCATGTGACCTAGTGACGGAGCTGCAGGTTTCCACAGGTCACTTGTCAACCACGAGAAGAACGAAAACGAGGCTGCTCCTTCCTCCTCCCCTAGGGCTCCTCCCAGAGCCCCCCTTCGGGGTTCCTTGTCCCGCACTCTACAGCTGGTGGTTCTCTTCATTCTTGTTTCCTGGGAGGGTTTCATCTCACCCTCTTTCAGAGGACGTTCTCTCTCCTTTTGCTACACGTGGCATCCTTGATTGGCAGTGCCCGCCCGTCTCCAGCAACTTCACACCGTTCTCGTCCGTCCTCTGGTCTCCACCGCTGATGAGAAGTCAGCTGTCACCTTTTCTCCTCGTCTGTGAAGTGATCTTCCTCTCACTGCTTTGAAGGCTTTGCTCTGCATTTTTGGTTTTCATCACGGTACCTATTATGTGCCCAGAGTTTACTTTTTTTTTTTTTTGAAAATTTATTTATTTATTAGAGGGAGAGAGAGCAAGCAGGGGAAGAGCAGAGGGAGAGAGAAAATCCCGAGCTGGCTCCCCGCTGAGTGCAGAGCCCAACATGGGGCTTGATCTCATGACCCAAGACCCTGACCTGAACTGCAGTCAAGACTTGGACCCCCAATGGACTGAGCCACCCAGGGCCCCTCTTTTTATTTTTCTTAACTCTTCCTTCTCCTTCCTGTCAGATAATTTCTCTTGACATGTGTTCACTTTCGTGCCCTCTTCATTCTTCTGTCTTCAACATCCCAGTGAACGTTTCATTTCCACTGTGTGTTTTCAGTTCTAGAATCCCTCTCCCGCCATCTTTTTTTTTTACCAGTTTCCATTTATCTGCCAAACATTCCCTCTCCATTCAGTCATGAAAATAATACTTTCCTTTAGTTCTTCGAATGTATCTTCCTCAGACTCTTGAAACGCATTTATAAGAGCCACTCTCCCACCATTGTTTGCCAGCAACGTCCAGACCGTCTCAAGTTGCATGACCATTGATTGACATGTTTCTTTCACTGCAGATTCTGTTTTCTGTATCTTTTATGTCTAGTGATTTTTTTATTGTATATTGAAATTAATTAGGATACTAGATGTAGGACGTCTGTGTTCTCTTTCACTGGCTGTTGATTTCTGTTCTGGTAGGTGGTCCGTTGTTCACTGACTATCTTGGACGTGCACAGCCTGGTTTTACACTTTGTTATGGGGGGGATCTGTTCTGTCACCTGCAGGTGTCCAGGTGCGTGGCTAGGTGTATGCCTAGAACAGAAGCAGATGGACTCTCCTGTCCATGACAAACTGTCCTGGAAAATTGTAAATGACACCCCCCAACAAAGAGGTCAGTCTTTATGCTGAGACTGCACTGTCCAGGTGGACCCCAGCAGGTGCTGTCTGCAGGCAGGTGGGCCCCAGAGTCTCTGTGTGCAAGGAGTGAGGAGTGGCATGGAGGTGGGGGTGAGGGAGCTCAGATGGATGTCCCTCCTCACGAAGGAGACCCTGGGATGGGGAACAGTGTCTCCCTAACAGACGGACTCAACCTGTGAGTGTGCCTGGGTGGGGGTGCCTGGACCTTGCTGACCTGTGTGTCCATCTTTGGGCCCTATTCTGGAAAATTCTTGTAAATCTGTCCCAAATCTTCTAATTCGGCAGCATCTATCAGGAGCATTTTCAGAAATACCATCTTCTGTGTTGAATTCTAGAGGCGTTCTCACCGTCCTGGGTGGGGTGGAGAAAGGATGCTAGAGACTGTGGTTTCTTCATAAGTCCAGTGTGGACTCTGGTGTCTACCAGCCAGAGCCCCGGGGGGCAGACAGAGGTCCTCCCTACCAGCTTTCTGGCGATAGAGGTCAGGCGAGAGTCCCTGGAGGAGAGGAAAACCTGCCACCAGACTCAGCCAGCCTTCCTTTGAGTCCCACATGACTGTTGACCTCTGTGGGCTGCATGTGTGCGGCTGGTGTTTCCTCCCACTTCCCAGGGACACCGTTGCTTCTGGTGGGGCTGCACCTCCTGACAGGAGGTCCATGCCTTGGTTTACTGTGCTTCTCTAATGATGAGACTTTCTTAAGACAAGGATCTGAGGTCGTTGCCTGCCAGGAGTTCTCTGTGACCCACACCCTTCCGTCCACACTTGTGTTGTGGGCAGGTGGTCGCCATGTCCTTCCTTCATGTTGGCCGTGTTTGACCAGCAGCCAGAAGCTAGAAGCTCCCAGGACACTTGGACGTGAGCCAGACACACCCGTTCTCCTAGCACCTGCCTTGGAGACTTCCTGACGTGGGGGAGGCCATCCAGAGGCCATCATCATGTGTGCAGGGGTTGGGACACCCATGTTTTCAGAGTCACACAGAAGTGGCTCCAGAGAAATCGTAAGGAAGGACGCAGAATCCGGCTGGTGCCAGTGACACATCTGGGCACGTTTCCAAGTGTAACATGCATTTGGAGAGGGGCCAATTAGTCATGAGGGTTAGGGCCAGACAGACAAAACACCTGCAGCAGAAATCCAAGTTCTGGGACACAGCCCGGAAGAAGCACAAACAAGGAAGACAGCAGCTGTGTCCCGTGCTGTCCAGACCCCTACAGCCTGAACATAAAGGCCGCCCGGGGCAGGAGCCTCCAGACCTCACCACCGTCCTCCCTGACTCCACTCCAGCCCCACACCACCATGTGCCACACCAGTTGCTCTACGGGCTGCCAGCCGGCCTCCTGCACCCCCAGCTCCTGCCAGACGTCCTGCTACGTGCCCGTAAGCTGCCAGCCCACCATGTCTGTGCCCGTGAGCTGCAGGCCCACCATATCCGTGAGCTGCAAGCCTGCCGTGTACGTTGTCCCCTCCTGCCAGTCCTCTGTGTGTGTGCCCATGAGCTGCAAGCCCCTCATGTTCATGGCCTCCTCCTGCCAGTCCTCCGGGGGCTGCCAGCCCTCCCGCCCCACCCTGCTCTACAGACCCATCTCCTGTAGCACCCCGTCCTGCTTCTGACCGGGATCCCCCTCCAGCTGCTCCCAGGGCACAGGGGGCCACATCTGCGCCCCTCCTGGAGCAAGTCTTCAGCAGCCTCTGGGTTCTGCAAGGGCAGATGAAGAACATGCCCAGTGGACCTTCGAAAGTCCATGGTGAGGATGTGGCAGGATGACCCAGATCCCTCTGTGACCCAGCGTGTCCCCTGTGGGAAGCCTAGTTTCCAGGGTCCTCTGTCTCCAGTGGGAACCAGCCATCTGTGAGCCAAATAAACCATGCTATTCTGATGCAGCTCTGTGCGCCTGTCTTCTGTTTCTGCACACCCTGTCTGTGCTACAAAGTGGGGAAGGCTAAGCCCCTTCTCACAGCGGCTCACGGAAAGTGGGAGCCCCTGTGGAGGGCGTGGTGGTGCACGTGGCTGGGGGGCGGGGCGTCACGTCAGATGTCCTGTGTCCTGGCTCCTGTGTTCTGGAAGGTTGAGTCCAGCTCCTAACTCTTTGTTAGGTTAGATCTGCAGAACCCGACCGGGACTGGCCCCTGGCTCATGACTCACTTCTATTGCTGGTCCACGTGTGGCCCATTTTTAGCTGATGGATGATCAGTTATTGGTTATTATAACCACCCCAGGAACCTACTCCCT